GTAGATGATTAAGTAACTAGGGCTGTAGGGTTAGGGCAGTAGTGTTTAACTAGAAATGTTAGGGCAGTAGAGTTTAACTAGATGTTAATTAGAGCAGTAGGGTTTAGTTTAGAGAAAAAATTAATATAAAAATATAAATTTCTATTGGTGCTCCAAGTCCAATAGGTTCTTCATTTTAACTGATCTTTTATTAGGACAGAAATTTAGGACATAATTTGAATTGAGTTCTAGGGTTCATAATTTGAAATTTAGGATAGAAATTGAGTTCTAGGGTTCATAATTTTTATTAGGACAACAATTTAGGACAGAAATATGTAAAGGTTCTAGGTTTCTAGGGTTCATCCATCTATATTTTTGGTTTTTGAATTGAGTTTGAGAGAGCATGAGATTTGTGTAGATTTTCTTGAAGTGTCAAACACTAGGGAGATGCAAATTTGAAGTGGTCTTGTTATATGCAAATTCCTCGTGTTTGCTCATATATATCTACTGTTGTAGTTGCTCATGTACAGGTTCTTAAGTCGTCCTGTATATGCAACATTGAAGTGGTTTGATTGTGCCCAAGTGACCTTTTTGTTGTTTGCAAGGAATGATTCTGAATGACCTATGTTTTGCCGGAATGTTGATTCATTTCCGTTCCAAAATGAGGCATGTCCTTCGATAGCGCTTGCCACACTCTTCCCACAGTGGCCACACAAATCTTGGCTTCTCGGGAGGCATCTGTGGTGGTAGTGCCGACTTGGCGATGACACGTACCACAACGGGCATGGTTGGTCGGCCCGATAGATTCGGGTTGCTGCAGGGTGCAGGCCAGACCCAGGAGGAGCAGGCGTTCCGTATCACCAGTAGTATATGTAGCTGCTCATGGTCATTTGGAGTAGAACTAGCAGTCAACATGGCATCCACGCACTCCAGTAGCCTCCTCTCACGGTGAAGATGCCACACTCTATGGGTGATATGCATGTCATCATCATCCACCACCTGGTGATATGCCAATGCATGCCCGCAGCCCGGTGATGTCCTCGAGGATGAGCACCCCAAGTGCGTAGATGTCTGTTTGCCATGTCGCCTTGCGACAAACCTGATACTCAGGTGCGATGTAGCCCCAGGTGCCACATGCACCGGTGACGAAGTTCCTGTCGACGATGACGATGACGGTGCAGGCCAGGCCGAAGTGACCAAGACGGGCCTGAAAGCTTGAGTGCAGCATGTGCTCGCCTTGATGTCGCGGTGGAGCATCATGGGCTCGTACTCATGGTGGACATTATGCAGGCCGGTTATTATACCCTTGATGATCTCGTAGCGGGTTGGACATTGCCGCCTCTATGGAAAAGATGTTGGTCTAGGCTACCGTTTGTCATGAACTCGAACATGAACAGGGGCACTCCTTTGTTGTATGACCACCCTGAAATTTGTTTACGGTCAGAGTTATGAAAATATGTGTTTATGTATTTCTACAAATGCATAGCTAGAAATTTAGAATAGATATGTAAGCCATGGATTCCAGTTACTAAGCCAGCCGCTTTTGACCTCTAACCATGATTAGCTACCCTCAACTCCAGATAGGACCCTACGCGCAATAAAGGATCATATATGACCTCCAATGCAATACATGACACCATATTGGACCCACAGAAAATTATCTGGAAATATTTAGGCTATGTACAACTTTTTTTTAGGAAAGGCATAAATGCCTGACTTTATAAAATAAAGCAACAGCATAAAGGCATAAATGCCTGACTACATCAAGAGCAGCCAAAGGAAGTCTCGGATTACATATGATGCTCCGTTATAGCGAACTAAAATGAAGGTAGCAAAGCATAATAACAATATGCATCCAACGACTAATGGAAAATTTTAAATCCAAATCAAAACAGAGCATAATAAACGAAACAAAGACCATTCCAATACCGAGAGTAGCAATGAGCTAAATTCGCAGCCCAACTTAGATTAAATGTACTATTTGGACGATGTTCTTGTGGCGCAACCGGTTGATGGTGCTGACGTCGGCGAGGAAGTTGTCGTAGCGGCGGTTCTGCACATCGCGTGTAAACCTCTTAATCCAGCGCAATCCAGCGCAAGTCATCTAGTACTCCCTTTGTAAATTAATATAAGAGCATTTAGATCACTACTTTAGTAATCTAAACGCTCTTATATTAGTTTACGGAAGGAGTACGTAGCTAGCTAGTCTCTTGTGAATCGACCCAGCAGTGTGTGCTATCTTCCGGTGGAACCCAAAGTCAGCTTCGGTACGTAATAGTCAATCTCATTGCAGCACGCCTGAGCCCTTTGGCCGGCGCCTCCTGACGAGCTGCCGGCCGGGGAGGTGCTGCTGCTGCTGCACAACGCCCTTTGGCCGACACCCGTTGCCTCGAGTTCCTACAGGAGCAGCGGTGGCTCGATGACCGGTGGCCATGGCGAGTTTGTGGATATTGATGTGGCGGTTAAATCTGTGTGACATGGCGGTCAAACTTAGTTAAAACTGTGTCCACGTCAGCACCAAACCACCCTAAGTGGTACAAAGCACTAAACTTACCCGTTTTTGCAAATTGAGGGACTAAGATTTGCTGATTTTGAAGCTGAGGGATCATTTTTGTATTTTCGAAATACTTAATATAAGGGACAAAAAAATGTACTTTCCCCTATTTATTACAGATCATGGGCAGCTCTTTTGCGCTGCAATGCGAAAATTTATATCTGACTTATGAGCATGGATGGGCTAGGAGCATCCAAGTTCCTCATGTCTTTTCCTGCTGCCCAGCGAGCTCAGCCTCACCATCACTGTCCCACTCAAACTTATCACTGTCACTAGTCCAGCTAGCCCTGTGACATTAGTTAAGCACAAATCGAGTAATGTTGAAAGCAAACCACCATAAAAGTAATTATAGAGAATAAAATGATACGACACGCGATGGAATCATGAATAGTCATTGGTTTAGTTTTTTCATACCGAGGGTTCGAATCCCTCTCTTTCCGCTCCCTTGGATCATTTGGGACTTCCGAATTGGAAAGAATTCTGACCCCCAGATTTTCTCATAGATAAATGTACGAAACAAATCCAATAAGAAAAAAAAACGGAATTTTTACTCCTCACGTCCAGGATTCCGTCCTGGGTCATTAGATAAGAATCCACAAGCCCGCAACAGCCACAAATATCGCAATTGAAATCTCCAGCATGAAATCAGTCCAACTGCATTCGAAGAAAAGGAAGAAGGAAAAACCATATATTTTATTGAACAAACTCCCCTCGACCGCTGTCACAAGAAGAAATCAAGCTAATGCCGGGAAAATATACACCAGTGCAATCAGAAACAGTTTAACTTGTAGTTTTGGGGGTCCCTAACTAACTGAAGTATGCTATGTTTCAGATATATACTAGCCGTGCGGCTGGGGCCTTCAACCGACCGGCGGCACGTGGAGGGACCGGTGAGGAGATGTCGGATCTCCGCCGGTTTACTGACGTCGGCGTTCGTCTTCGTGGAGAGACTCCGCTCGGTTCCAGCCAACCGCGAGATCGGACGACGTGGCTTCCGGTGAAAATCGCACCTGACTGCGGTCATGGCGGACGATGGCGGCGTCTCGGACATTGTTTCCTTCTCGAGGCATCGTCATTGCAGGTCACGTCAACCTGATCGGAAGGTTCCGGGGGAAACCCTAGGTTTGGATCTATCGGATCGAACGATGGCGACGTTTCGATGTCGTTCTCCCTCCTGGGGGTATCGTTTTGGAGCAAGTGTTGGCTGGAAGGGACAAGAGGAGGAGCGGCGTGATATCTGACATGTCGACAACGGCGGGTCTCAGCGGCATGGAGCAACGGGGTCTCGTCGGTGGGCGTTGGATGATGGACGAGGCGCAGGATGGTGGCATTGTCTGGCGTCGTGGTGGCGTCGACGGCAGCTAAACCGGGCAAGGTATATGCAGCAGTACAACACTAAAGATGGATTGGTGGCAGGTGGCTGCGGCGGCCTCATACCCGGCAGGCGTCCTGGTTGAGGAGCACGCCGGACTGATGGGTGCCCATACCCGGCAGGCGTCCTGGTTGAGACCTCAGGTCTTAGATGTTAGGTTTGGCAGCGAGGTCTGTTTGGTATTAGGCATAGACTATCAGTGCCCCTTCATCAATTGGATAGGAGTAGCAACAGATGTTGTTTAGACGGTGGCTTTAGTCTTACTGTTGTATGACTTTATAAGGTCTTGTGTTAATAATTAATAAAATGGCCGTATGCATCGTCCAGATGCAGAGGCCGAGGGTCTTCCTCCTTTTCTAAAAAAAGATATATATACTAGGAAGGATAGCTCGCTGGGCAGCAGGAAATGGCATGCATAACAGGGCTAAACATACTTTATGGGAGTAAGGTGATCAAGTGGCATAAATCTAAAAATATGAGCAGATTGACCAAGTTTGCCCGTTATCACCTAGAGTAAGATTAACCAAACAAGCACTAGTGCAGTACCATTTGATGATGCGTGTACCAAATGAATAAACAACTGTGTTTGCATTCGAAATGAACTTGCGCAAACGCATGAGCTGAAGTGCCAGAGAAGTAAGAGTTTTCCTCATTTTACCATATAGGTCGATCGCTGTAGCATAATCTAAACAACAGAATCCCGGCACTAAAACGTCCCGACCTGTTAATGCTATGTCTGATCACAAGAATGTCAATGCGTCGACATGAACATCATATGAAACAAAAGAACATGCGAGAGTCATTCCAAACAAAAGAACACAAGCGAGTCATTTCCAAACAGGCACAATGGTCCAACTCTGAACACCATGAACTCAAGGTCCATGTAGTTACATCCCTCTTTATAAATACATAGTAGCCATACAAGGAGCTCTCCACATCTATTGAAGATAATAGTTGTTCTTCCAAATATATGATTAAGGTAGATATGACTTCGTCTGAACTGAAGAAGTCTTTTCAAAAGATATCAGATCTATAATTTATTCGTCATAATAATTTATAAGACGTTTCTCATACAAATGTGGATATGTGGGTAGTTCACTTCTTCATTCCAAGAAGTCGGCAGCGGAATTCTCCTAGAGCCCAGATGGGGAATAAATTCCGGTAGTTCGGGTAGTTGAAGTAAAGGGAGGAATTGAAACACCCAACATGTTCCTGCAACCATAACAAAAATTCAAACTTGAATTTTCTGGAATTGAGATAGATTATTAGCAAAAGAAAGGCACAAATTCTTCTAAGTGCACATAAATTTGGCCATGGTCAGTAATTAATCTACCTATGATTCGAAAACTTCCCAATAATTGAAGAGCATGTATATATTTTCAGTCAGACGTGCATAATTTTCTTTTGTGGACTCATGTAACGCCGCCGCCGCCACACAACACCGCCGCCAGATCCCTTCTCCGTTGCCACCGTTCCCGCCGCACCTTCTTCCCCTCGCCGCCGCCACACAACACCGCCACCAGATCCCTTCTCCTTTGCCACTGTTCCCGCCGGACCTTCTTCCCCTCGCCGCCGCCTTTGGCATCCTTCGGCAAAGTCCGAATGGCTCCGGGGAACACGCCGGCGGGGCATTTTCCGGCTGCTCGGCGTTGGTATAGCGTCCACGATCAACTGATGCCCCCTAGTGAGGTCTCCCCGTCTGGTGACGGCAGCGTGGAGGCCGGGTTGGTTGCAAGCATGGCCTGTCCTCCGGTAGATCTGATCTGGTCGGAGTGGCCTGCTCGCCGCACGGCTGCGGAGATCGGTGGCGGTTTTGTGCACACGATGCAGGATGGAGATTCCTCGAGCATATTCGGGTGAAAACCTTGCTCTCTTGCCAAGGCTGGCGATGGCGGCGCTCTTTTGTGTCGTCCCCTTTTTGAAGGCATCACAGTGGAGAAGCTCCACACCCCTATGCGCTACCTCGAGGGGAATCTCTAGATTGATCGGTCGGATGACGGCGGTGATCTTGTTGTCGTTCCCCCCCCCATGGTGGCGTCATTCTTGGCAATGTGCATTGGATTCGAGGGACCATTGGTCGTTTTCAGCGGTGGAGTGGCGTTTCATGTGACGCATCAATGACGTGCAGTCTTGGCAGCGTGGCGCAGCAGGGTCTCGGCGACGGATGTGTGATTATGGACGCACGTAGGGAGGTGGCGTACGTCGTTTGACGATGTGGTGGCAACGACGACAGGCCTGATGCGTCAGTACCAACTCTGAAGATGGATTGATGAAAGACAGTGGTGACAACCTCTGCAACATGCACATGTAGTGCTCGCTGAGAGTGCATCAAACCAGTGTGTGACTGAGACCCGACAATTTGGCTTGGTTGGGGCCTCCGGCTTTAGATGCTGGACTTTCGTGTTTGTCTGGGTACACGGCCGTGACAATATGCACTCCTTCATCTAGTGGATAGCAATAGCAACAATGGTTGCCAAGATGGTGGCTTCAGACTTATTACTTTGTAATTAGGGTCTTGGTGAATAATTAATAAAATAGCTGCATGCATCGTCTTGATGCAGAGGCCGGGGGTCATCCCCGTTTTCGAAAAAACTAATATATTGTAGTGTGTCTTATCAACATAAGTCTATAATTACATAAATAGTTTCTGCAGAACTACTAGGTCTAGCAACACGGTGTCATCTTTATCTTTTATCCAGCTTAATATTTAATGGATTTTCTAGAATTTTTATCAGATGAACTTCCGCTGTGTGGACCTTAGGGGTGACTATGATACCTTAGTTATTAGTGGTGACTATGGTAACCAATTGTATTCCATTCTATAAAAAATTATTGTAGAAAACTTACACTAGCACTTTAAAAATATTCGGCGGTGATTTCTGCTAACTACCTAAGTGAATGTTCCAAAGTTCTTTATGATATTACTTTCACCGTCCGTGAATCCACTCAAAACTTACTTGTTGGGGGAAGTCACCAGTTTCCATCTGCATTTTGATCAGTTGTTTTGTGGAACGATATAGGGGTTCTGGATCCCGCTCAGTCTGAGAATTAAGAAGAAGAAAATGCACATCTTTAAGAAATATCACATAATCGCATTTCCGTGTCAACTAAGAAGAGCAATAGAAAAACAGACCTGCCCAGAATAAATTAAAGCTAGCATCGCCCAAGCAGTGCCTACTGCATGTGGACTCGCACTGTGGACATAGTCCTGTTTAAATCAATAAAGCTTAGTCAATTCATCAGTTGAGTAAATTCATAAGGTGTTTTAATTCACATGACTCGGCTGCATATATTCACAAATTAAAGGAAACATGGCAAAATAAATCTGGGTTTAACTAACAGTATTATCCATACATATACAATGCAAAATATATTAAAGGCACAATGGCAAAAAGATGCTTTCAGGGATTTTATTTTCTTTCTTGCAATAATATAGTCCTTCTAGAGTAATGATCTATATTAGTAAAACACGAGAGCACCACTAACACTGGTGCATTCTAATACACTGTACCTGCTGTAACAAATAAACAACAAGTTATTTCGTGAAACTGTCAAATACATGTGAAATTCATGAGATGAATCCATTACAAAGTGCTGGATTATTGAAAACATATACTCTCTCTGTCCCATAATATAAGACATTTTTGCAAGTTAAAACAACTTCCAAAAACATGTTATATAATGTGATGGAGGGAGTATTTGACACCACATGGCTCATGTTCCAGCAAAGTCCACAAATTTTGTGTAACTCTGCAACCTCTACCAGACTACCATAGCTGCATTCTCCAATTGTTGGGCTGTAAACCGGCCAGCCTTGTTTCAGTTTTTATTGCTCTTGACCAATTGTGAGACACATATGTTTTCTAAATAAAAAGTCACATAAAAGCAAGTAGAACTCTTATTGAATGATTCTTTTTTAGCGAAGGGACTATATGACTTGGTTGTTGCACCACCATATAATTCACACAACATTTTGATTTATAATTAATCCAGCTGTAAGCAAAAGTTAAAAGGCACATTGACAAAAAATGGGCATCTACCTAGATACAATAAAAAGCATTATATATTTACCTCATTTTCACTCGAATGGTAGCTCTCACCCCATCCACCGCCACTAAGTTGCTTTGATATGAGGAAGTTGCATCCATTCCTCACGTGTATGCTGTTATCATAAGTTCTTCCGGCAGCAACTAATCCTTTTATGGCAAAGAAGGCACCATAAGTAAAGCAAACACCCCAAGTGCCGTACCTATCAAATAAGCTTATTACGATTAGTTACGTAGTTATTACATGTGGAGTGGACATTTTATTTACATCATGAGATTTCCATACCATGAGCCATTCTTGCTTTGTTGGTTCTCGATAAATATAGCTGCTTTCTTTATGCATTTCTTTATCTCTTCAGCACGATACTCCGGGTATAACTCGTTGAACAATATAAAGCATTGCATTGCCGATGATGTGCACTCGACATGTCTGCGAAAAATTGTATCTCATTGAGTTTTCTTAGTAACTTCTGGAAATTAGTATCATTTAATATAATAAATGGAGAATTAAATATCTTACGGATAATCAACAACAATGTTCCGAAAACTCTCAGAAGGATTGAGGACCTAGTTTAGAAAATATATCCACAATATTATATATGTAACACAAATATGTCAAAACAATGGACAACTAGGAATATATTTTAGTGCAATTTCATCTAAAGCATTTTTCTAGTGGTTTGGAAAATTCAAGTGCAATTCAAGATCTAATAATTTCTTTTTTAAAGGCCAGCAATATACTTTGGAGATACTCACCTCTGTCCACGAAGCTGTTCTTTTTGATTCAGATGAAGAGAATGTACCATCTTCGTTCTTTGTGAAAGATAAAATAAAGTTGTCAATCAAGTGTCCATTTAATTGCATGCTACTAACAAGTTTGAGGAGTATTTACATTTTTGTCAGTTATTTTTTCCAGATCACATAAATAGCCAACTCTATTAAAGAAATATGAGTGCAACTCGGTTGAAAGATATTCAAATATTGTTCTGTTAAATGGAGACTAGGTGCACCTAATACAATAACTAACACAAATTAGTTTTTAGACATATATCATCTTTGATATTTTGATACCTTAATCACTTTATAACGATACCATATTTAAGAACACTAGATATGTATTTTGTGTTTTCTAATTTACCTGCTATGTAACTTCTACCGTATACATCCTATTGTTTATAATACTTTTTTTTCTTCTAATCAGAATACTATTCAAACCTAGTCTACAATTATTGATAATCCAAATCTCCTTTTTATGTAATATGAATAACATAACTCATGTATAAAACTATTTAGTTATATAACAAAGATTCATACCACATAAGAGAGTAGACAATCAATGGCATCATGCAATCTTTCCTCCTTTATTGGAAGCCCAACTATGTCAGCAGAAACCTTAGACAGGTACAACAATGCCTATATAAGATAAAAGTAACAAAGATCATAAGAAGAGATGTTTTAGGGAAATAATTTCATGACTATTCTCAATGATTGCTTTATTACTAACAAAACACATTTATTTTAGTTATTCAAAAGTATGAAAATATAGGTGTCAGATTTGAAATAGGAGGGATGAAAGGACCTCATACGAAAGCAGAGATACTTCCAGAAGGAAGCCCAACAAGTGTTAAAAACATTAGTACCGAGAACTATCATTTTGAAGGACTCAAAAGAAGATGATAATAGGAAAATTGTCTTGACCTGGATTGTTTCTGCAGTAGAATCAGGAACTGACCGACCATTGTCTGCTGTTGAAAGAGTCCATGAACCTTTGGATCTATCACGATAGTAGTTTTGGTGTCTAGGAAGATCATGAAGAACCTTCATGTAAGAATATGAAATTTAGTAATTCCACATCAAAGTGGTACTTTTAAGCAACAAAGGTTCAAGGTGGATAAACCTGTGAATTTTTTAGAAATTCATGAGCTTTCTTAAGAGTTGACCCGAACTCGTCAATCAAATCTGTGGAGAAAATAGCTTGAACTGTTTCCCAGCTTTGGCACCCATCATATACCTATTTTCAGCAGAATAACATTAGTATACCATCCTTGTAAAAATATAAATCCTCTCATTATAAAGCAACAAAGACATGAAAGATAAATTTATCATGAAATGACGAGAGATAATAGTTTAAACAAAAAAATATTAAACAAGAACCACCGGTATATGATGCATTAACTACAGAACCTGATGTATGATTTATTAACAGAAAAAGGTTTTTTTGCTTAATACAACTTTCTAGATCTCCAGACATACATGTTGCATATGTTGGCTGTGAAAATCTGAATATTTGTTAATGTATTATGAACTATGTAAGAATGTAATGTAATGTAATGCAATGCAATTATGAGATGAATGTGAAGTGTGGATCTGATTGTGTTGGAAATGTGCCCTAGAGGCAATAATAAAGTGGTTATTACCATATTTCCTTGTTCATCATAAATGTTTATTATCCATGCTAGAGTTGTATCGACGAAAAATTTAAATTCATATGTGGATACATAAAAGAATACAGTGTCCCTAGTGAGCCTCTAGTAGACTAGCTCATCGACTAAAGACGGCGAAGGTTTCCTAACCGTAGACATGAGTTATCGTTTAATAAAGGGATCACATCATTAGGATAATGATGTGATGGACAGACCCAACCGTAAGCTTAGCATCAGATCGTATCATTTAGTCCATTTGCTACAACTTTCTTCATGTCAAGTATCCGTTCCTTAGACCATGAGATCATGCCACTCCCGAATACCGGAAGATTACTTTGGAGGTTATCAAACACCACTTCGTTACTGGGTGCTCTACAAGCGGTTCTATAGAAGAAATCGAGTAGATTGCTAAAATATCCCAGTCGGTCCTGTGCATGGAACGAACTGGGATACTTAAAATATTCTAGCCAGTTATGTCCCATGAACCGACTAAGGTGTAAATCCCAAAGAAATTTCTCAACCGCCTCCAATAATTTGAGTATTAGTATACCAGTACTGCCTCTAAAGCCCTGATCTATACTAGTGACTGAATTTTGAACACATAAACATCAACGTAGGACTAGATATAATGAATACACAACATGGGAAAGGTACCTGTGCCTTCATGCCGTCTTCAGAAAGCCACAAATAATCATAAATCCTAGGAAGATGTGCCCTGAATGCATCCGAATTTGGGTTTTCTACCCAGCAGCATATCATATTCAATGCCTAATTATTGAATAATTTTGTTAAAAAGGCAAGTTCTAAATTTGTGTTCATAGTCTACCAAAGGCACTGATGATTTCTATGTACTTTTTGTATAGATTTGGTCTATCCTTTGTCGAAGACAAACTCTCTACCATTTTCATCATTTTTGCCATAGTTTCGTTGCACACAAATAATTAAAATGATTATTGGCTCTTTGGCCCTTATTTTTCTAAGTCGGACCATTTCCCCCCTTATTTCTTACATAGGTCACCAGTAATGTATATATGCCCGTTCACATCTTCTGATGAACAACGGCCGGCTTCTTCCTCCAGCATTGGTGCGTCGCCCAGACCACTAGCTCCATGCAATCATGATATGCAACATCGATGTGTCGCCCAGTCCTAGCCTCCTCGGCATGTTGGTTCTGTTGACTAGTCATACAAACAGTTGCTACAGTTTTGTTTAGCTCCTGCCATTAGCGAGCTGCAGTCCAGCGGCCATCCTTCTGCTTTCGTGGATCCTCAATCTCACTTTCTAGTATTTGTGCTTAGGGGGCCTCCTCGTATTCTGAGTCGACCGCCAATTTAACAATGGAAATATGAGTTATGTTCTATAAAAGTGTGTACTGTTGGAAACATCTTTCGAATGGAATTTAGTTTTATGAAGAGAGCACTTTTAAGTAACAAGAAAAAAAAATCACAACAGTACCTTTCAGTAAGCAAATGGTCATAAATATTAGATATCATTTCAGTTGTCAATTCAGCACAGTTCCTAAAATCTTTCCCTGCTCTATTGATGCAACACATCATTGTATTGCATGTAAACAGGACTTCAACACATGGAACCAATTACAAAATAATATCATATCATGTGAAAAATATATTGAGCATGTTTGTCTAGAAAAGGATATTTTCAGTGTACATCATCCGATTAGGTCTAGTCCATCCAACAACAACCAAGTGGACATTAGGGCATTATGTACACACATATTTATAAGTTATTGACCTAGTTCAAGCCACTGCTAAATCTCTCTATATACCGGGTTAATCTTATTGCCCGAAAACCTGGCCAAATAAATCTGAGTTCAATCACAGTAGGCCAACTAAAGTCAGCCAAATCCTAAAAACAACACTTTAGGAAAAACATAGCAAACTAACAACAAAACCTGTTATTGAAATTACCTTGTTGATTGGACATAAACCAATGTGGTAAGTAGCTTCGTCCTCATAGTATATATGTTTCATGAGGTTGCTCAATGATATAGCCCTTAGCTTATTGAATGGCCAAACATTCAACATTGGCTCCACAATCTTGTTTAGACATGTCCAAACTATATGTTGTACAGGTGAACGAGGGTACTTAAGGTCTTCCTACAATGAAAAATGTTTGATGATCAATGCTTTTGCAAACCATTTCACAAAGTACCGTGCATGATTTCTTCCTGACAGAATCAATAGTCATAATGTTTAATACATTGTGTAGCTTTTTCTTATCCTCTAGGAGATATCTGTAGGGGTCGTTAATTTTTGACATAAAGAACAAATAGATCAAGATATATTCTAAGTTATTATCTTTAAATGGTGTCGCTTTTAATTTTTGCCAATTACAATTCATATTGTCCTTTTAGTGAAATAAAGAGTTAAATTTCAGTATACGTAACACAAGACTACTACTTACAATGTATAACACCACTTATTATTGAAAGATCATGCCTCAAAATATATCTTTGCTCTACCATACTGCATCATTGTGTACATGTATAAATAGTCACAAACCTTGGCACATGAATCACGGGCCTTGTTCCAGTCAACCTCATTGTAGGGGATGTTGTACAATTCCTCTCTTATTTCCAGTATAGTTTGAGTTATCGGTCCAACAATTTTTTTCCCATAAAGATAAGCCATTGGCATGTAAACCATGCGAGCAAAGGACCAAAATCTTGCTGCGTAATAAGATGATCACTTGAATACTTATAATAAAATTTTGGTTATTGTAGCATAATTGTTTTCAAGTTAACAGAGATTAATCACTATATTAACTTAAAATACCATAATAGCCGAGAATCCACATGAAGACACTGAATCGCATTATATATACTCCCTCCAAATGAAAATAAGTGAACCACAACACTTATTTGGATCAAAGGGAGTAACAACAACACTATATATGAGGTTTCTTGTTATTTTAATGATGATATTTAATAACTATAGTATATGCAATTATCAACATAATATAAATTAGTTCTTTTGCATACTTCAACTCAGTGAATGGTGTTCAATTGGTCACCATAACATCCCAATTTAGTAGTTTTTCTTAATTAAAATATGATTAGTAAGGATTTAACTTTTCATTTTAAACTTACTCCAGACTCGGGCAACTTGATGGTCCAGACTGTTAGAATTAATCATGATGTAATTCGTGAGTCATACTACGTACTAGTCTTAGCTCCCAGGCTACATGTACATGTGTACCCCTAGATTATAATTGCAACATAACCCCTCAAAAAATACAATGGAAAAACAAGATCGTTACATTCCTCAGTGTTTATATACTCACGATGCTCAAGCAATAAATATCTATTTCCCTTCTAAAATGGTATTAGACTAACCGATCTAACTCTAGCTGTCGCTCGTCGCTTCCGCCCCGCGGGCCGCCTCCGGGGCGGTCGGCCTCCATGACCGTCGCCGGGGGCTGCGCCTCATACCTAAGGTTCGTCCGCCAGTCGTATTGACCGGTTGCCCTAGAGTCTCTTTTCCCCGATCCTTTGATCCAGGTTTTTCTCTCTCTCGCCGTTCGCTTTGATCGGCGTTTACTTTTTGGTTTTTCAACCTAAGATCGATTTGCGGTGCCCGCGGCCGTCGTCGACACCCACGCGCCTCTACTCTGGCGTGACTACATTGCCTCCTCCCTGACCCGGTGGCCTCTCGTATGATGCGGCGGCCCATCCCGGTTGCGTTGTTATGTGCAGCTAACGCCCCTCTCAGGCGTGGGTCGCGTGCACATGCCCGCTGTTCGCGCGTCCCTCACACGTGGCCTCTGTGGCGCATCATCACCGACCGGTGACCCCGACCTTGCTAGCGGCCAGATTGATCACCTGGTCGCCGCTCCACTTTATCCACGTCGCACGACCGACCTAGCTAGTCGCTTGCGTGCACCTCCGCAGGTCATGTGAAGACCATCCCCGAGTTCATCGGGCCCCTCACCGATCGAGCAACGGGCTGCCGCTGCATGGCCTCGTCGGGCTGCAGCGTCGCCGCCCTATGGTTCTCCCCATGATTGCACCGACTCGCGCGTCACTAGTGCATTGCCCCTTCGGCCCGTAGAGCCGCGGCATGCGGTCCTTGCCTCTGCCCTGAGGCGTCCCCACGGCTGCACCGACTCATGCGCCGCCCCTTCGGGCTGTAGCGCCCTGGCACACAGTCCCCACCGTCACATGAGGCCGTTCCCGTGCCTGCACCGACTCGCCGCCGCCGCTGCACCGCCCATTCGGGTCGTAGTGCCGCGGCACGCGATCCACGCCACCGCCTCGAGGTCTTCCCGTCGTCGCCTGACCCGCCTGCTGCCGCCCTTCGGGCCATAGAGCAGTGGACCGGGGTCCACCCAGCCGTTCTAGCGAGTTGACTTTCTGTGTGGTATGCGCCGCACCGCCTCCCTCGGCGCAGGAACGCCACCATCCGTGTCGGTCATCGTCACACTGTCGAGTTCTTTCCCACCTATTTCGAGCATCACCTCCACCGTCAGGCCGCCGCCGTCGCTCTTCTTCGACGCCGCTGCCGCTCGCTCACCCGAACCGCGCCGCCCATCCACCCCCTTCGTCTTCGTCCAGCACCAGCTCGTCGCCAGCGCCGCCGTCATCTTCCTCGACCACTTCGTCTATGCTGACCACCATTGGTGACATCCGCCCCGCGCCGATTGGCGCCGTAACCGTCGTTGAGCCTTTCTCCGCTGGCCCCTCCGACTCCTCGACATAACGTACAACTCGTGCAGGCCCCTCGTCTACGTATGTCCGGTGCTGGCAACATCAATGCGGGCCTTCGTCCACGACGTGTCCCCGAGCCTGGCAAGCCTAGTGCGGCGCTACGTCAACTTTTGTCTTCATCCATCTACATGCCAGATTCTCGCAACACCGACGCGTGCCTTTGTCTACTACGTGTCCCCGGATTTGGTAAACCCAGCGTGACGCCTCTTCAACAACGTCTTTCTCCCGACTCACCACTATTTTGACACCACTGCACCCATGACTAACTCGGCGCTTCCTTATGCCCGCGGCTCCATGGCGACTTCCTTGACAACGGCTACCTCGACTCGACATCGACCACGGCGTTCTTTGCACGGCTACCTTGATCACGGCTACACCACCCTACGCTCTCGGCTTCGACATCAGCACAAAGGGCTACTGCCTAGCTTGAGCAACCTCGTCGGTTTTCACTCCAGTCACAACTTTCGCGATGCATCGACTGTTACGACTATGGGGATGTTCGTCGGCTTACCTTCGGGTTCTTCTCCAGTCTCACTGTCTACATCGCTATCATTGTGACTGCGGGGGATGTTGAGTATTATGATTACTAGGAAGTATATAGGATAAACTAGGATTTGGTCCTGCTTTGTCTTGTACTTCAAGTTAGTCATTGTACTCCTATATTATTTTTAGAAAAGGAGGATTGCCCCCGGCCTCTGCATCCAGGCGATGCATGCAGCCATTTTATTAATAATTCACAAAGACCTTACAAAGTAGTACATTAGTTTATCTGAAGCCACCGTCTTAGCAACAACTATCGCTACTCCTAACCACTGGATGAAAGGGTGACGATTGTCCGAGCCTAATACCAAACAGACATCCCACCAAAACCTAACATCTAAAGCCGGAGGCCCCAACCGAGCCACATACTGGGTTTGGGGTTTAAACCGTCCGATGCACTCTCATGAATCGTTGCCGCCGTCTTCCACCAATCCATCTTCAGAGCAGAAACTAACGCACCGACCTTGCCAGGCCTCTCTGTCGTCGATGCCACCATGACGCCAGATAGCGTCCTCCTCCAGCGTGAGTCCATCTCCGCGCATCGAACGTAGAGTCTCCACTGCGCCACGCCGCCGAGATCCGCTGCCATGAATGAGTAAGATGAAGCACCGCTCCACCAAAGAAGCCGTCCACTGGTCCCTCGAGCCCATGTACACCTCCAAGAATGACGCCCCCCAAGGAGGAAACGACACCAGAGCACCGCCATCATCCGATCTATTGATCTAGGGTTTCCCCCAAAGGTAGCGGATAGAGGTCTTGAGCTTCTCCACGGAGATCCCTTCAAGAAGGTAACGACACAAAAGAGTGCCGCCATCGCCGGTCTTGGCAACAAGCCGAGAACACGGTTTTCACCCAGATCCGCTCGACGAACCTCCATCTCGCATCGTGCGCACGGACCACCACCGATCTCCGCCGCCGCGGAGCAAGCAAGCCACTCTGGCCATATCAGATCTGATCAGAGAGCCAACCACGCCCGCAGCTGACCAGCCCATGAAAGCCCTCCGCGCTGCCGCCGATCCGACGTGCTGTAGCGCCGAGGCCAGATGCAGCAGCTCCACCACTAGTCATCCGACGTCGCTCATCGCCACGGAGGCTCGGACCTGGGGCGCACTTCCGCTCGCCCGGATGCCCCGCGGCCCGCACCACCCTCGCGCGTGACAAGGAGAGGCTCCTCCGCCACCGCCATCAGCCGCTCGGGCTTAGCCCGGCGTCTTCCTCCCGCGACGGCGGATGGGAGGGATGGGATGGGGAGTGACCGGCGGCTAAGATTGGGCCCCTCAGCCGCCCGTGCGGGGGGCGGCGGAGGGGAGAGATTGGATCTGGAGGAGGGGCGGCTTAAATTGTACTCCTATATATATGCCAACAAGGCCCAAGCAATAAATTAACGATTCCACCGATCTCTTTTATTCCCTCTTAACACTCAGGCTAAACTCTTTTGTGTATCTCGTGTGCGTTTCCAGTCACAGCAAGATCAATCAGCCGAAGGTCAAATCCTTTGTACGTGCGCGTGTTGCGGCTGGCCAAAGCATCGGGTAGGAGCGATTTCATTACAGAGCCAGCTCTTGCTTCGTCGTGCTCACCGGAGAGTATTCGGTGGTTCCACGCGCTGCATCGACACTGCCAATAACGTTTGTGCGGTTAATAATGACAGAACCAACACAGACACAGGCAACATGATAATTTGTGTTGGGGTTGATTTACTGCACTTTGAGCAGGGAGTGCACATCCGCTTGTAATAGTGAAGTGCTAAGCCCCCTTAATTGACACTTTTTGTCTATGGAAGAGCCAAGTGATGAACTACTGCCCAGGAGGTTGTAGTTGGGTATCTTTGATCAGGAGTGTCTTACAAGGAGAAAGTGAAGTACAAGTACTATAAAGGGCTAAAGGATTTGTTCACACTCTCTAGAGGTAAAGTTTACGCTGGTGTCACTTGTTGATTAGACGTGTAGTTGTATCCTTACTCACTAATTGATGTCACTGGTGTTGGCATAATTTTTTTCTTCTTATACTGGTAATATACAGTAGTGTACATAAGGAAAAACATGTCTTACCAACATGCCATACGAAAAACTCGGGTGGGAATTGCTTTGAAAAATCAAGCATACATGTACCTGGATGAAATGGAAGAAAATGGGGTGCCATCCACAATTCAGGAATGATTGCATTGTTTCCGGACCAGTCGTATGCACCGATTACCTTTATAGAAAAGAAGTTTGGCTTGTATAAATTTCATTCTACAGAGATAACAATAGTCAATAGGGATGTACGTTGTTTGATATAGGTACAAGTCGTCCATGGTGTTTTCTGAGGTATTCCTTATGGTCTAACTGAGTAGCCAACGATGCTGCATGTTATTCCTAATGTACTCCAAACAGCTCAAAGGATATTTGTCTAGCTAGAATTAGGTTTAATGGTTGCATTCGCTTTGGTTTAAGATGGACAAAAAGAACATTCTGATCTGTTTCAGCACATACCGAGAGCCATATCTTTGCCCATTGAGGCGCCGCAGTTGCACTTCCATGAGATAAAATCCAGGCACGCCCTCTGGCTAATGCATCATTTTTGCCATCTGATATCTCACCTAAGAGCCTTGGCATAGTTTAAGCATGAGCCGAACATGGTGCTCTTTGTCAAAACCTGGGTGCTCCAGCCACCATCTTCGTTCTACAGTGATATATATTTTCATGCAAATGTTATCAGATTTGAAAATTGCAGGGAACAAGCTTTCTCTCAAAGATAATGTATGCAAATACCTGGTGGTTATAAATGTAACGACATATCTCACGTCTGTGTTCTGATGATAAGATCACATTGAGAGTTCCAGTAACATGTAAGGAGAATATCTGAAGAATATGGAAGAAAGCTCATCATACTGTATCTGTAGCATTCTTGTTATCCAAAAAATACTGTAAGTAGTACAGACATTACAGGAAGTTTTCCAGACAACAGGACTCATATTTCTACGTCGCGTAAACTTGGTCTCACATCAGAAATCAGAGGAGAACGTAAGATAATGTATATCAGCCGTGAAAAATGTTTTACAAGCGAGACGTAAAAGGTCAAACGTAAAAAACATACAATAGAATATATGTAAACATGTAAATTTTGTGGTTTTATGACTTATATTATGGTTTTCTTATGCCAATTTTTGTGTAGTGAATCAAGATAAACATAACTATTTGCATGCCAAACCTAAATTCTTAATCAAACGACGCCAAAAATACCTCGGGTGCAAAATAATTTGTTCTGCACCATGGGTGATGAATAGCATTACGACAACCCTTGTAAAAAAACACTTCAATTGGACTTCTTGCAGTTCTCCATAGTCCATACATTTATTTTTAATGATTGATAGAAGGTAGATGACTAAGATTTGTTTAACGAAATATATTCCCATTTAAAAATAAAAATATTTGGAGCAGGCATAACAGGAAATCCTACATTCTATATGGGAACGGCTGAACTGGCCCTGCTATGGAAAACTAGTCAAGTGCAACATTTTGATTAATTTGTTAGCCATACAACACAATCAGGTAATTGCCATTTGCTCTTTTTTTGAGTCAAAGGTACTTGCTATTTCCTACCAAAATGCATGTTTCGAAACAAGGAACTATACAAACAAACAATTAACAAACTATACTGTACTTGCCCGGTTGCCACATTAATAAAATTACAATGAAATAGCACATACCAAGAGTGGCATAATGAACATAATTCCACTATAATCACCAGGCCAGTGCCCATCTTTTGCTTGCAACTTTGCGTATTGATTCAGGGCTTTCCTCAGTGAAGTTAGTATAGCTCCTTCAGTGATGTCATTGTCTTCAAGATTGAAGGTCGGAACATTTGCTTCGATGCCATTTTGTTTTGCAAACTACAGTGTAATTAATTTAGGATTACTTGAAAAAAAAGCCACATAACAAACTAGTCTCAATGATAAAATTTCAATTGTGATAAGATCCATTATTTCCCAAATGAAATAAGTATGGCTTAAAAATGCATACAGTAAGCAGTTTTTTGGCCAGATTAATGTTAGGCCCAGCCACTCTCCTGCACTAACTTGGCCTAGCCCTTGCCAATTATGGTTGTTTAGCTGGACGTTAGGGCATGTGTGTGGCGGACTTGCCTTGCAGATATAGGATATGATATTTGGTAATGTACACGGACGATGGATCAAATCATCCATTAGATTGTAACTGTATCATTTTGCAAATCAGCACCGTTCAAGATAGGCATCGTCCAGATTTCATCCGTTTACTGCCGTGTGCAGAGCAGTTTGAATGTACAAAAGTAGGAGAGTGGCACAAATTATTCAACATTCTTGGTACTTGGACTTTTCAGGCGTGGCTGTTCCTACCGTTATCCTGTTATTTTCTTCATGATATAACTTTATGTTAAGCCCCAGTGTGGCGCATTTTGGTAGTAATAAATAATGATTATGTGCACCTCATGGCGCAGTGGCAAGGGATTTTATTCTTCTATGCATTATCTACAACTACAAATTGGGTACTACGATGACGAATTTGCTCACAAGAGAAAGGTACCACGATGGATTAGTTTTGACAGTATATATATACACATGCCTGCATGCGCATGAGGAGGTCCTGCGACTCCTTTCTCTGAGAGCGGTTGCGGGTGAAGTCGCAGCGCAGCCTCTCAACGTCGGCGCGCTCCTCCGGGGTGCCGGCATTGGGATCGTACTCCCACACAGCCCTGCCGAGGAAGCCGTTGCCCGACCGAAGCAGCGGGCTTCCTCCCTCCGAGATCTTCAACCTCCACATTATTCTTCTGCACTAGTAGTATGTGTCTGCGGTTTGTTAATTTGTGTTGCTCGGTAGTAGGAAGCTCGGAGGTCGGCCTTATATGGGGCACGGAAATAGAATGCATGCAATGTACTACCTCCGTCTAGGTGAATAAGTCATTCGCGTAGTTCTAGGTCATCGATTTGAGAAATTAAATCTGTGTTATATGTCATGAAAAGTATATCACTAGAATTTTACACGGATGTATTTTCTAAACATCTATTTTTTATCACATATAATACATATTTAGATAGTTAAATCATCGACCTAGAACTACGCGAATGACTTATTCACCGAAACGGAGGTAGTACGTATCATTATTGGTGACCGGGAAATAATAAATGGAGACTATTGAGGGGCAGTTGCATGCGTTAACTTCTATACGGATCGGGAATAGTACTGTATGGGCTTGGTAGAAGTACATCATCACTTGTAATAATGAGGTATATAGCCAGCTATTAACCACGAGACATGTTTTCGTCCACGTGTCGTTCCTGACAAAGCAACCATGTTTGTGTTGCGTGTTAGACTAGCCATAGCAAAAATAACTTAGGCTGGTCACAATGGGCAAGAACATAAGTTAGTAACTTCACACTTCCCTAGACTATGTTACTACCTCCATAGTGGGTAGGAACATCTATGTAGTGTCATGCAATGATGTATTTATTAGGTTATAGACTCATTGTTTCTTGGAATGTGTGATGTTCCGGTAACTTAGCTAGTTACCACAAGCACCTCTCTCTTCATTAAATACGTGCCACATAAGCAAAGTTGTATTGGAGTGTGTGATGTTACTCCTAAGTTCCTCCCCACTGTGACCAGCCTTAGGGCATCTTCAAAGTTGTCCCGCAAATGTCCCCGATATATGTCCAGACCTGGTTCACCGACATGATGTGAAGGTTTGAGGGTCCGCTTTGAAGATGCCCTTACACTAGTAACATACACATGACTCTAGGCTATGTTACTACCTCGGTCCGGGTTTTTAGGTCCCCTCAGGGCATGTACAATGGTTGATAAGATAGTCTTATTTTAAGTCTTGCATGTAGTTTAGAGATGATAAAAAAAACATGTCTACAATGAGTGATCTCTTAGCCTTATCTCCAATAACTAGCTATTCCTAAAAATATGGTGACACAAATTGTGCTAAGAGATCATCTCTTGTCTTTTCTTAAATAAAAGAAGACAAGTCTTCTCTTATGATTTATCTCTCTTCCACCTCATCAATTATCCTACGTGGCAGTCCTAAGATAGAATCATTGTATATGCCCTCAGCACCCCATCCTAAGATAGAATCATTGTACTTCATTTCAGAATTAGTAGTACAACTTAATTTGAAAGTTACAACTTCACTTCACTGAATCCAGTATTATAGGCTAGCAGCAGTAGCAAGGGAACTCAAGATTAACAAAGCTACAACAAAATCAACAAGCTACTCCGAAGGACGATTCATGTGTATATTAATCAACAAGCTACAGAACATCACATCTGAGGGGATTTCTTTAGTTCTCTACTGTATATATTAATCTTTTAGCATGAAACGAACACATGGATAACTAGTAACTACAAGTTGTAGAGTAAAGTAAACATGGCCACCAAGATAGTACTGTATTATAAAAATCATTCATGCAACACATGCATTTTCCTTTCAGTTAGACAAAGGACGGAAATGGTGGTTCGAGTTTCGCTGAAATTCAACAAAAATCTGAATTCTGCTGGGGCTGGGCGTGCTGCATGCAGGTGTCACCGAATGTTTCAGACAGAAACCTTGGTGTGGAGTTTCGTGTGTCAAGCGCCGAACTGAGCACACACCATCAAGCTCAGAAACTCCTATGATTGCTTGCTCTGGCTCCTAAGCATGTATGAACAAATCAAGAAGGAGACAAGACAAAAACAAAAATAGTATAAATCTTGCAAGTTGCAACAGATATGCATAGTTGGAAATTACAAACAAAGCAAAATAAATCGCCATGGTAGAGGCGTATACAAAAAGATCTACAAAGTCATGAAGCAATGTGCAGTGGAAGATCTAAACAGTATTTACAAAACCATGGTTTTTTCTCTGTATAAAAAAAGAGCTTCGGACCTCTTTTTTTTAAAACAGAGCAGTATTTACTGTAGTTTTTGATACTTAGGTTTTTTAATACTCTGCTATCAAACATAGCCGAACTTATTCTGCATGTACATGTTCTCTGCTTGGTATAAACTATGATCACATAGTGAGCAAGAACAAACAATGAATCTTGCATCCATAGTATCTCCTATCAATTTCAATAGTGCAAAATTAGCACACTTCAACATAAGCTCATCAGTTAAGCACTTGAGCCAAAAAAAGAAACGCCGTAAGTCCAAAATACTAAAAAAAACTGCACTTTAATCAGCTAAGCATACAACAGATTTAGAAGAAGCACATGACACCACAACAAGCACATCAATAGGCAGCAGCTATTGGAGATGATGCTCTAAGCCAGCGATATCGCACAAACACTGGCGGCAACTTAGCATATATAGCAGGAGCGGTGTCTGCTCACCTACTGCCGAGGAAAACACAATTATCTCGACTCCATACAAACACTATGGAAGCAGACTGCTACAAAATAGGCAGCCTGGCCGCCTCATACAAACAAAGAGAGAAGCATAACAGAAGTGCAGAAGTATGTATTACTAAGTAAATGTGTAGACAGTGGAGTGGAACATGCATATAAATTTTACTGAATATGATCACAGATTCATATGAGGTGTGCATATAAATTTTACTGGATAGGATCACAGAATCACACAATCACTAGGCCTACCAA